ACACAGTATTAAGTAGATCTTTTGCACTTACGTGGTCGCAGAAGTTCTGTTGGGTAAGAGGCTGGGGAGGTAGGGATGAAGGAGCAGATTTTTGCTACTCTTCTCACTAGTGCATGGAAGTAGAGGAGAATGGGAAGGAGGTAATTTATATCTTTTTTTTTTTTCCAACTTCACAGTATAATTTCATATCCAGCCAAAACCGAAATATGAGTCTCCTGGCCCAAAGTCCAGATCATTTCTGCCCCCTGCTGTCAGGTTGGGTGCCTTAGAGGAGGGAGGGAGGACTACCCGGGTCCTGCTGTTCACTGAGAGCCACCAAAACTGGTGTCACAGCTCCTCCTGCCAGTTGCTATTGAGAAGGGGCTGAGAATATAGTGCTCAAGGTGACCAGGTTGTGTCGGTCTGCAAAGTCCAAGTCACCCAGATGGAAACCCAACTCCAGCTGGCCAGCCCCGCAGCACAGTTTCTACTCCAGACAGAAACCCTCTGAGTAATGCAGCTGTAGTTTCTGTTACAGTCTGTTCTCAAGTGGCAGGTCACAGGCATCATGACTTGCAGAAGTAAATGAATCCCGGAGACGTGGTCCTGACACCAGGTCTTCCTGACTGCTGGACTGATTCCTAGCACCTGGTTTTAGGGTGGGCCCACAGACAGGAGGGGCTGTGAAACATCCCATACGTGGCCATGGCAAATAGGAAGAGTCCACTTTCTAACTTCTTTACCTGTGTATGCATACTCTGGGCCCACGGAGGGTCACGTTTCTTCCTTCTCCTTCTCTTCCCGTCAGTCTCCAGAGTGTAGTACTAAGCACAGGTGGCCCCATTATTGCTGCTTGTGTTCTTGTGTCTGAAATGAGTGCCCAGATAGTTATGCGTGATTTACAGACAAACTTAACATTTCCAGTGTTCTGTAATGTTCCCCCTGAGCATCTGAGAAAAGAAATGAGCAGAGATGGGGTGAAGTGGTCAACCTGGGACAAGTTGTAAATTGCTACGTCAACAATAAGTGAGCTTCCATGAGGATAGTTTAGTTGAGCCAACACCTTGCTGGGAGTCATGAAACTTACCTGGGGCTTCACCAGGCCTCTTTTCTCTAAATGGGAAGAAATTTGAAAGAGTAAAACCAGATTTCAGACATGGAACAGTCAGTTCTCATTGTTCCTAGATTCTATATTTGCCAGTTTACCTGCTGGCTAAATTTATTTATAACCCTAAAATCAATGCTTGTAACACTTTATTTATTTATTTATTTATTTATTTATTTATTTATTTTATTTATTGCTTTAAAGGTGTTTATTAAGGAATGGTGGACTGTGTAATTGACACTTCTGGAATATGAAAAGTCAACTGTGGTCACATTTCCTCTCGGCTGTTACTGGGCGGGAACCACCACTTAGAGCAGCATCTCTGAGAGCTGCTACGGAACTGAGACCAAAGCTGGCCGTGTCTGGAGAGAGGGCGGTCATTCAGACAGTGGTCTTTGTATTAATTGCAGTATGTAACTCTACTGAAGTCCCAGTGGCAGCCACACATAGATTGTGGGAAATTGTTTGGCAGTTTCTTAGAAAGTTAAATGCTTTCCATCCTATAACCTAGCAGTTCCACACCCAAGTATTTACCTAAGAGAAATAAAAATATATGTTCACAAGTAGACTTGTATGAAAATATTTATAATAGCTTTGTTTATAATAGCCCTGAAATGGAAACAACCAAATTTCCATCCACAGAAGAATATGTAATAAGTTGTGCTATTTTCATACAATGGACTATTTATTGCTCAGGAATAAAGAGGAGTAAAGTATTTATACACCCAACAGTGTAGGTGAATCTCAGAGACACGCTGAGTGAATAAAGCCAGACACAGACATACTATATGAGCCAATTTGTATGAAGCTCGGGAACAGGCAAAATTAATCTACGGAAATAGAAATGAGAACAGTGGTTGTCTTTGAGATTTGGGGATTTACCAAATGGAGCATGAGGGAACTTTCTGGAGTGATGAAAATGCTCTATATTTTTATTTTGTTGGCGGTTACACAGTTGGGTTTCTTTATCAAAATGTATCAAATTGGCCCTAGATGGTTTAGCTCAGTGGATAGAGTGTCAGCCTGTGGACTGACGGTCCTGGGTTGGATTCCCATCAAGGGCACATGCCCGGGGTTGCGGGCTTGATCCCCAGTAGGGGGTATGCAGGAGGCAGCCAGTCAGTGATTCTCTCTCATCATTGATGTTTCTCTCTCTCTCTTTCTCCCTCTCCCTTCCTTTCTGAAATCAATAAAAATATATTTAAAAAACCAAAAAACTTATCAAATTGTACATTTTAGAGCAGTATGTATTTTACAGTATGTTAATTTCCCCTCAATTTAAAAAATACTATTTTTTAAATTTTTTATGAATCTAATCTATATTATTTCAAAATCATAAGTTCAAAAAAAGTACACTATAATTTCCATTTGTTTAAATATCTGGGGGCATACTTTATGACCCATATGTGGTTAATTTCTGTAAATGTTTCATGTGCACTATAAAAAAATGTGTAGTACCAGTGTTGGTTACAGTATTCTATATCTGTTACTACAGTTGAGTTCGTTAATTATGCTATTCAAATCTTTTGTATCCCTACTTAATTTTTTCTGGCTTGTTCTGTGAGTTTAAATATTTTACAATCTTTATAATTTTGAACATATTAATTATAGTTATACTAGAGGCCCGGTGCCCAAAATTCATGAACGGTAGGGTGTGGTCCCCAGCCCAGCCTGCATCCCCTCGGGGGATGTTGGGCCTAAACCAACAGTCGGACATCCCTCTCACAATTGGGGACGCTGCATGCACCAGTAACCATACTTTTCATACAGGTGAAAAGCATCTTGCTCTTGTATGGGCAGCTACATTTTTTTGCCCTGATTATAAAAAGTAATACAGAACATGATCCTTCTGAGGCAGAAGTACCATTTTCCCCATCTTATGGGTGGAAAAACTGAAGCAGAGAGAAGTTAAGTAATTGGCTTTGCCACACAGTTATAAGGGTCAGAATCAGGGCTGACCACAAAATGTGCAAGCCAGAGTCCATGCATGTCATCGCTGCATCATCCTGTTTTTTCAGTGTTAGAGTAGGCTTGCCAGGTTTTAATTTTTAAATCTAAGAGACTGTTCCCAATATATAGGGTAGGGTCCCTAGGCTGGGCTGGCGATCAGGGCCATCAGTGGGACGACCAGCGCGGGCAGGGTGATTGGGGAGCCCCCCAGGGACCCACCTTGGCTGGTGGCCTGGCACCTCCCACTGGCCGGCCCCACCCTGTCCCCTGATTGCCACTGCCTGTCACCTCCCTCTGGGGGAGGGAGGGCAGACGCTCAACACAGGAGCTGCCCACTGCATTGAGCGTCTGCCCCCTGGTGGTCAGTGTGCGTGATAGCAACCAGTCGTTCTGCTGGTCATTCTACTGTTCAGTCTATTTACGTATTAGGGGTTTATGATATAGGATTAAAGACCATGTCCTATGACTCTATTTGGGTCATGTCTGGGTCATTCTATTGTCTCTCTTTCTTGAATCCATGCCCTGGAATGCCTAGCAATTGTTGATAGAATGCAGACATTTTGTATAAAGAGTCATAAACACTGTAGATGATGGTATCTTTCTCCAGAGGCTACTTTTGCTTCTGAGAGGTGGTTAGGGTAGGGCAGACCACATTAATCAGACAAGGAACTGAGCTGCTTGAAGACTCAGTTCTGGTATTATTTTAGGCTTTCATGGTAGGTGGTGCCCTTCAGGGGTCCTAAGGAAATGTACCTGAGCTTTTCCCTTTCTGGGGGGTCCTGAACTCCAATATGAATTCCTCCAACATCATGAAACTGCCCGAAGCTCTGTTTAATTCCCAAACCTGTTGGTGCTGCTTTCTGCTTGGTTTACCCCGTTTCTCAATTAGCAAATGCTTAGAGAGGCAGAATGTCCAGTTCACCTCTCTACATGTCCCTTCTCGCTGGGATTCCCTTGCTCTGCCAAAGGATGATGGCTCACTTCGGGTGCCTCTGCACAGCTGCTTTCTGCTGGGCTTCTCAGCAGTTCTGCGCTGGGCCCCTTAAAGATCAGCAGGTGTCCTGAGAAGAAAAGTGGTACCAGGTGTTGCCTCAGTTTTATTTCTCTTCTCCCTAAGATCTTGGCCTCTCATGTCCTGGCTGCCTTGCTGTAGCACTCCAGTATTTTAAACAGGTTTTCAACATAATCTTTATCCAGCTTTTCCAGTTGTGTTCAATGGGAAGGTGGTCTGACACAAGCTAGGACTGGGTCTTCTTCTCTAAACCCACACAGGGATCTCCCCACAAAGGCCGACAACCAATGTCATCCTGAGATTAGAAGTGATTTCTTCCTGTATCGTTGCCCCAGAAAGTCGCTGCCTTCTCCTGGGTTTTGCAAGGGCAGAATGACCTTTTGCAAATCAGCCATTTCCACCTCCATCCAGTTACAGTCTCCAGTCATGGCGTCAGGGTTGGCATCCCAGCATGTTTGGGAGGGTTGTGCATACCCTACATGGAGGGGGAGCCTATTAGCCTAGTTTGAATGCGATTAGCATTTGAATAAAAAGGTGCCTTCGGTATCTCTAGGAGAAGAGATAATCGAATGATTACTGCCTTCACTTCTGCTGGGCTGAATATGTGTCTGATAGTTCCTTGAATTTTAGCTAAACTGCCATGAAGAATAAATGTGAGAATTCTGTAAAGAAGGATGGAAGCTCAATATTCATGGATATGATTCTTTCAATCCCTTCAAAAGTGGAGGCAGTTAATAATAAATGTTATTAAGGCACTAAAATAAATTTAGGCCAAGGGATGCACATTTCTTGAATTTACGGTTAGTAAATTTAATTGGAAGTCTCAGCAAAAACCTCTTTTGACTTGCCAGAGAATGGGAAAGAGATTCATGTTGAAGGCATTCCCAGAGAGAACTGAAGATATAAAACTCTTGCTGAATTGTGGTTTTTTGTTTTTGTTTTTTTTCTGAACAGTTCACGAGGGTGGTGATTCCCAGGCTTTCTCGAAATGTACCTCATTTTCTGGCACACTTACCACTGAGGGTGAATTCTCCTTTTAACAAGAAGAAAATTCTGGTGGAGAGCTACCCAACAGGGAAAGGACGTGTGGCTGTTACGGTAGGTAAGCCATTTGTTTAGAGGATGGGGAAAGAAGAGAAGTAACTTGTACAGAAAACACTAAAGAGCATTTCCTTATTGTGAGTGGGACTCCAGAAATGGATAGTACACATTTCACTAAATACCAAGTTAAAAGGCCTTATCGCCCCAGCTGGTTTGGCTCAGTGGATAGCGTGTTGGCCTGTGCACTGAAGGGTCCCAGGTTTGATTCCAGTCAAGGGCACATGCCTGGATTGCGGGCTTCCTACCCACCCCACTCCCCAGGTTGGGGGGGGGGGTACAAGAGGCAGCTAATCAATGATTCACTCTCATCATTGATGTTTTTATCTCTCTCTCTTTCCCTCTCTCCCTTCCTCTCTGAAATCAATAAAAGTAAAATTTTAATTTAAAAAAAAAGAGAAAAAGGTCCTTATCACTGAAGATCTTCTAATTCTAGTTTGCATTCCCAGCTCTTCCCCTACCAGCTAAGTAAACTTGGACAAGTCACTTATTTTTTTCTAAACCCCAGTTCTTCCATCTGTAAAGGGAAATTTCATAAGAAAATGTTTTACAGATGGTACAGAGTAATATAAAAATGCAGCTATCATTGTTTATTATTTTTACTGCTGTTATAAAATTCTGTGAAATAGTTAGTGGCCTGTGTCTCATGGTTTGTTTGGACCATAGAACTTGGTGCTGTGAATTGGAGAGCTTCATCTTGTTCCCCACCTGCCGGCCCTCTAAGTATAACTCATACCATTCTTTGGGCTGCAGATACCTGCTAAGTACTTTTGGAAGTTAGGGGGCAGGATAGAAGTAAAGGACAAGATCAAAGGAAAAACAACAACTGTATGCGTTGTCATGGCAGGCATTGGTTCATTAAAAATAAATAATGTATTTTTATAACCCTTGTTGAGCACATATTATGACCTGGGTACTGTTCTGAATGCTTGTTCCCTCACGGAGGTTATGCTGTAGCATGGAGGGAGGCAGATAGTAAATAACGCACATACTGAAGAAATAAGTAAATTGTTAGGATATTAGAAACCAATAAGAACATGGGAACAAGAAAAAGTAGAGCTGAGTAAGAGGATTTGGGGGTGCTGGGTGGGGCAGGAGTACAAATTGCAGTTTTAAAAGGAGTGGCCAGGGTTGGCCTCATTGGGGAAAGACAGGAGGTCAGGGATTCACCCTGGGCGTGGTCCAGGCAGAAGAAGAAGCTGATGCAGAGGCCCTAAGGACAGTACAGACTGAAGGCCCACGTCTTGGAGCAGGTTACATGGGAAGGAGTGTTAGGGGGTGAGTTTGGAGAGGCAGTGTTGGCTCTCGAGGAAATGATGCCATTTCCTAGTTTTAGATAAGGAAGAAAAGTTAGCTTGGTTGTTTTTTTGTTTGTTTTTTTGTCTACCTGGTTTATTCTTAGTGTGTTTCCTCTACAATTAAAACACACGAGCGCACACGCACCCTAAATAAATCACAAAATGACCACTGTATTAGTGTCCTTCGGCTTCTGTAACGAAGTACCCCAGACTGGGGAGCTTAAAACAACAGAAATGTATTGTCTCACAGTTCTGCAGGCTCGAAGTACAAAGTCAAGGTAGGGCCATGCTCCCTCTGAGCCGCCTAGGGAGGAATCCTTCCTCGCCTCTCCCTGGCGTCTGGTGGTGGCCATCAGTCCTTGGTTTGCAGCTGCATCACTCGGTGTCTGCCTCTCTGGTCACAGGGCATCATCCCTGTGTGTTTGTGTCTTTAATGGCCATCTTCCCTCGTCTTATAAAGATACCAGACATGTAGGTTGAAGGGCCCACGCTCCTTCAGTCCAACCTCACTTCACCTCTTCCATCTGCAACAACCCTGCAGGTACCGGGAGTTAGGATTTCGGGATGCATTTTGGGGGACACAGCTCAGTGCCTAACAGCCACCTTAAATAGGGAACAGTATGCATTACTATTTCCATCTTGCAAGTGGAGACACAGGCTCAGACGCTTAAATGACATGCCCACGGTCAGTCAGGAAGCAGAAGAGTCAGGCCAGGGCAGTGTTACCATGCTGCTCCTGTGCCATGAGGAGTGTGAGGATGGAGGGGACAGGGAATTGCCGTGGCTCAGGACAGGCCCTGCACACATACAACATCGCAGTCCCCATCCGCATCATACAGCCTAATCCCAACAGAGCTCAAAACTGGTGCTCTGTTTCAGCATTCCTTTAAAAGGGAAACAGAGGGCCCCTCCATTTCCCGCCCCCCATTTTACTTTTCATTCCATGGCATGACCAACATAGGAAACAGATGCTTTTTCCCTGCTTTAGGAATTTTTCCAGAAAAATAAGCAGTGTCTGTGGCGTGTGAGCATTTTGTGACAGGACCACATGTTTTTTTTCTCACATGACATGGGGGAAAAAATATATGGCTCTGAGTCAGTTGGAATACAGCAGTAGAAATAGGGGATTTTGGAAGCATTGAACATGTTTTGTTTTCTCATTATATTTAGCAATTCCTTCTTAACAGGAAATCTGGCTAGCTATTTGTGAGCCTGAAATCAACAGGAGAGCCTTATTTTAGACTTTGTCTTGAGGTGTACACCTGAGAAAAGGAAGGACACCCCAAAACATACGGAACACTTTACCAGGAGGAAAGTGGGCGCAGCCACCAAAGGCTGTAGTCCCAGAGGAACGTCAGAGTCTCCGTCAAGTCCTAAGTTTGGGAGATGAGACCAAACAGTGGTTGGAAAAAAAAATGTCCTAAGGTTGAAACTGGAAAGATCAGAGCTCCATGAAGAGGTGGTGTGAGGGATAAATCGAATGGTTCTAAAAATGGGGAAGAAGGTTGGGGAGACCTGTTTGTCTCTGTCTCTGACTGTAAAGTGTGGGGGTTGGAGTGGAAGGTGTTGGGTAAACCTGGCCAGTCCCTCACCAGCTTTTCCTAGACAGGGTTGTTAGCCATTTTTGTTGTTACATGGTCTTATAGTTTCTTCTCAAGGTCCCTTCTTTTGATCTCTGTTCTCAATATGTTTTTATTCCCCCTAAGTTCTTGGGCTTCTCTTTCCACTTGACAGCTGGCGGCTTTGGATCTGTGTGTTGGAGCAAATGTTCTTTAGTATCAAAAGGAAGGAGGGGGGAAAGCTGCCTCTCTTCCAAAGATGCTTCTACTCTTTGTGGAAATCGATTTTTTTTTTAATCCTGAAAGTGTGTAGAAAGAGCAAAGCCTTTATATTTTTCTACTGGATTAAAGGCTTTAATTTTTCTACTGAATTAAAAAGACCTCCCCTCTTGTCTGAGGTCACCACCCCTCCTGAGAACACCGCTCGATCCCAAGGGCCTGTCCGGAGTTCAGAGGCCAGTAAACACAGATGTACGCTGTCCACTTTGGATTATCTGGCCGGCAGTTTGCAACTGCAGGTAAACCGGTGGTGCTGCTGCTGACTGGGATTGGCCAAGCAAGGCAGGGTCACTGGTTGTAATTGCTTCCCAGCTGCAGATTCTGGGCAAATACCAGGCTTTTCACAGGAAATGCCAAAAGGTGACAAATATTAGAACTTAGAAACCTATTTAATCCCTCTTATCACTGTGGAATAGGAATAAAATCCTCCTTATCTCCCAGTAGTGGTAGATTGTTGAGCAATGAGAAATAGTGAGGCCTTTAGGTAGAAACCATTATAAAATATTTGTTAGTTCTTTTTTGTTCAGGTTAAATTCATATAACATGAAAGTAACCATCTTAAAGTTGAACAATTCACTGGCATTTAGTACATTCATAATGTTGCACAACCACCACCTCCATCTCATCCCATAACATTTTTGTCAACCCAGGATAGAACGCCGTACCCATTAAGCAGTTACTCCCCATTTCTCCTTCCCCTCACAGATCCTGCCAGCTCCCAGTCTGCCTTCTGTCTCTATGGATTCTCCCCTAGCCATTTCATATAAATGGAATCAAACACTCTCTGACTCGCTGTGTTTGATGAGACATTTACTTTTAATTGCAAATCATGTATGTTTTCAGTCTTCCCTTATGGTTACTCAGGGCAAGGTGGGTGCTATGGGAACGTTCACTTCTCTCTCATTAAAGCCTCCAGCAAGAAACCTGCTTCAGGAATACCTGCTCCAGGTTTGTTGCTGGTGGGGTTCTCTTCATGAGACAAACAGCAGTTTAGAATTGAGTTCCTTCGTTTGCAAGGATCTAAAGACTTCATCTTTACCGAGTTTCATTTCTGTCCTGAGACTCAACCTCCTCCAGCACCTTCTCCCCCCACCTCCAGTTTATGTCATTGTCTAGTGGTCGGAGCACTAGTTTATGCCATCATCCAAATGAACCTGTAATTGATATTTTGGCATTGGGATAGCCAGAGATTATATTGCTAGCCTAAGCAACAAAGCATAGTCTCCCCTTCCCCCCCCCCCCCCCCCCCAGCCAGGGGAGTTAAATGATACCAACCGTTGAAGATGAAAATTTGAGAAATACTTTACACTCTCACCTCTTGAGAAGGCTGATCATCCCCCCCTCTTCTCTTCCCTCCCGGGTGAAATAGAGGCTGCTCAGGGAGGGCTCTGGGATGCAGACAGAAGAGGCACTGAAATGAGATTCCTCTTTCCATCTGCCAGACGTAACCCAAGATGAGTTGCACAGATGAAGCTGGCAGAGGAACAGGGAACTGGATGGCAAACAAGGTTATGAAGGGACCGAAATCCTAGTTAAAACCTTTTGCAGGAGCAAAAGAGCCTGCTAGTCTAATAATGCAAAACCCAAGAATAAAGTTGGTGCTGTGCTAGTGGTGTCAGCCAATGCAACCTCTGTGAGTCTCTCCAGGCCCCCCCAGGAGTGTTATTAGCATGTGCTGTAGAATGATAGTTAAATACAGGGCACATTATGGCCTGTCTCCTTCCCATGGTGATGATCAGGTACTGTATCATGTGCTAGGTGGGACTTAATCATCAGCTATCTGCTCCAAAATACCTCTTCCAGGAGCCTGAAAATAGCACCTTTAGGGTAATTAATGGGTTTGACAACGTAGAGTGGAGGAGATGGGG